CCTTATAACAATTTTAAAACTAAGTAATTCCTTATATTTAATTACTTTCTGTTTGAAATATTTAGAGATAAATTCTTTTTATCCTGACTGAACCCCAACCAATCCAATTGAAGTCTTTTATTCTCAGATCATTTTTCTTTTCCTTGTACATATGTTAAAATTTTTCTAAACTCCCTTCATTTTTGCTTGACTGAAAAATGTTTATATTTTACCCTCATATTTGAATAATAATTTTACAGGTATAAAATTCCAGATTGACTATTATCTTTAGAATCTTGATAATGCCATTCTACTCTCTGCTTGTTTGCATTGTTCCTGTTGAGAAATACGTATTATTAATAGTTTACTTCTTCTATTTTAGGTAATCCGTATTTTCTCTCTAGCTAAAGATCTTATTTCTGTCCTTTGTACTTTTAAGTTTCACTAGAATGTTTTTAGGATGAATTTATTTTATTTATGCTGATTTGTATTTATATGGCTTAGTGAATCTGACAATTACTGCCTTTTATTAATTGTATTATCTCTTTGAATATTGATTCTCCACCATTCTATTTATTATCATCTCCTGGAATTCTCACTATATGCATCTTATATCTTCTCACACTAGCCTCCATGCTTCTTAATCTCCCTCACACACTCATTGTCTTTCTCTTACTCTCTCACACTTTTCTTTTTTTCTTTTTGTCAACCCCCCACTCCTCTCTCTCACACTTTCCATTTTTTTTCCTGTGGTGGAATTCTGGGTAATTTCTTCAGATCTATGATCCACTTTACTGATTCTTCAACTGTCTAATCTGCTGTCTAGAGCGCACTGACTTTCTAATTTTAGAGATTATATTTTATTTCTAGAAGTTCTGCTTAGTTCTTTTGCAAAAATGGTCCATCATTTTTTTTTTTTTTTTTTTTGAGACAGAGTCTTACTCTGTTGCCCAGGCTAGAGTGCCTTGGCATCAGCCTAGCTCACAGCAACCTCAAACTCCTGGGCTCAAGCAATCCTTTTGCCTCAGCCTCCTGGGTGGCTGGGACTAATAGGCATGTGCTACCATGTCTGGATAGTTTATTTATATATATATATATAGCTATCTAGCTAATTTCTTTCTATTTTTTTAGTAGAGACAGGGTCTCACTCTTGCTCAGGCTGGTCTCGAACTCCTGAACTCCTGAGCTCAATTGATCCTCCTGCCTGGCCTCCCAAAGTGCTAGGATTATAGGCCTGAGTCACCACGCCCAGCCAGCCCATCATTTTTGATAGTTTCATATTCCTTTATCTTATTTTCAATCTTCTCTTTTAGTTCTTCAAGTATATTTTGCATGTTTATTTTATATCCTGTATCTGTAGCTTCATTGTTTTCACATATTAAACATCTGATTCTGTAGCTTGTTTATGGTAATTTACTTCTTCATGTGTTTAGTAATTTTTGATTGTTAGTTCATGTTTATTGGAACTTTACCTGTGGGGATACTTTGAAGCCTAGTTTTAAAGTTTGTTTTCTTCCAAGTTATATTTGCTTTTGGCAGATGTTTGGGCTCCCAAACTGAACCATTTGAAATATTTTCTTTTTATATTGGGTTTTTTTTCACGATATAGATGTCATAGGAATTCTGGTTCTAGACCTCTTTGAATATTGGTTTATGCTTAAGAATTCTTAGAGGAATAATTTTCTTCCTTTCCTTCCATTTACTTTTCTTTTCTGTTCTTCCCTTGCCCTTGCAGGCCCTTTCTCTCTTTTTGGTTCCTCTCTTCTTTACCTTATCTCATCTTGTCTCATCTCTCCTCTACTCCTTTCCTTTCCTCTCCTTTCTCCCTTCTTTTCTCTTCTCTCAACTCCACCTCCCCCACCCCCCAATTTAGAGCCAGAATAAAGACATACCCTGTTTCCATGAGTTCCTTTTGGGATCCTCATCTTAAGGAGGACTTTCCAATCTATTCTTGTACTTCTTTAGCCCCAGATGTGGTGTCACTGATGACATATTTTAACTCAAATCTAGGCCATAAAAGTTTGGAATAAAACCTCAAAGCAAACACCAGTTTTTGAAATTTTCTATCAATAGCCTTTATTTTCCACCAGCTTATTTATGCATTAAAAATATGGTTTTATATTTTATCTAGTATTTTGATTTATATTCACTCCAAATAATTTTCTACAAACATTGAGTCTGCCATATTGCTAGAAATAGAAGTTAGCAATCATTATTAAAATGGAATTGACAATCTGTTGTTCAAAGTGTTTGCAATGCTTAATTATAAAAATATTGCTTACCATAGAGGAAAATTTTAATTTGGGGCTAAAAGTAACAGTGCATCATTTTTATTATGCAACCCACAAAATTGGAAAGTATGTAGTGGGTTTCCTTTTTTTTTTTTTTTTCAAGCTTATAAATTACTGAAGTATAAATTGCATTTTATTTTTGTAAACTTGATAGCCGACATTCCTTTTCTATTTCAACTATAAAGTCACATATGGATTTTTAGCATCTTTACTGCAGTGATTCTTGCTTTTTCTAGCTACAAGACAATAAACGTCAGTGTTTATGAGTGGTGATAAGATTCTGAATTCTATTCTGCTCTCATTGTTCCTGCTGTGAAATGATTGCCTATTTTAAAACCACTCAAATAGAGACTGATTGCTATTATGAACAAAGAAGATTATTCATAGAAATAACCTTCCTCCTCAGTATTATGGGTAGCAATGGTGATGAAAAGCCATATATTATACTGTAAAAGTCAGTCTTGCAGCACACCCCCATCACAGGCACTGAACATTTCACTCACTTGCTTGTTCATCATTTAACCACTTAACCTATCAGCCATTCAACTCTGTCTCCTTTTCCAGACACAGCTCTTTGATGTTTCCGGCAAAACACATCTTTTTCTGCTTGCTATTCATTAGTGTCCATCAAAATATATTTTTATACATTAAAAAATAAGGATGTGCTAGATAGAATGCCAGAATCAGGCCCGTTTTCCTTGGTAATGGACAATGGGAGTTTCTAGAGGTGAACCCCCTGTCTTTCAGAAGCTAAGTGATTCATCTGACAAGATAATGAATTGGTTGCTTTTTTTGGGGGGGGGGAAGATTTGCAAAAAAATTTTTTTCCCAGAGATAGACAATTTGGAAATGTTGTGAAAGGATAAAAAAAAGAAAGAATGAAAAAAGCTAGCTTAATATTGAAGGAGCTCAAAGAAATTTCACCCCCAAATGTGACTCCTTGGTATAGAGAGTATTTTGAATTACAGACTCTTCAAAATAAAAAGGTATTGGAAGGGGCTGTCCCTCTATCTGCATAAACCAGACTGACCAATCAGAAGATCAAAGGGGCAATTGGCTTCCCTTCCTCTCTGTGATATCTCAGTATGTTGCTGGAAAAATGATCAAGAATGCAACCAGACCTGGCCCAAATCATTTAAATATAATTCCTGTATCTCAGGTTAATTTGATTTGCAAACAGAATCATTTACAAGTTAATCTGTCTCCCTATCCATTTGTCCTCCCTAGCACCATTTGTCACCCCTAAACAGAATGACTTGCGCTACTCATTTTCCCTCCCTTCCAAAAATACGGGTATAAAAATATCTGAACTTCACTGGGATATTGAGTAATCACTCTGTGATTCTTCCCATGCAAATGGTAAATAAACTTTTCTCTTATTAATCTGCCTTAATTGTGAGTTGATCTTTCAGCAAACTTTCAGGGGAAAGGGCAAGTTTCCCCTCACCCCTACCAGTTGGTGTAGGCAGAAGGATCTTAAAGCCACTCTACTCTTCTGGAAGCCACAGTGAGGAGAATAGAGAGTCTGACCAGCTGGCAACATGGTAAAATACCTTACTAACAAGTTGGACTCCCAGTTTTCCTCTCTCTGTGGACTCTGGTTGAGCAGAGGGTAAAAGACTACTGTCCTTTCCAAATTTGAGGTTAATGAGAGAAAAGGGTCTTGTGAATGACTAGTCTTGTGAATGACTCTGGTATTGGTATATTTTCTGGTACTTTGTGTTATGAATATTCATATTGTTTGAGTCCCTCTCCTCTCAGAAATAGCCTTTTTTGTTCTTGTTCTTTCTTTTATCATTGTTTTTCTGTGTTGTTTTTGTCATAAAGAGGGTTACCATCGTAGAGAACTTTGAGCTGGTCCTGCAGACTAGCCAGTCACAGGGTTCTGACTAGGGCGTCTAATACAAACATTGTTATAGGTCTCTGGAAAAAAAAAAAGTATGACATTTCCCTATCATCTTGTTATTTGTCCCTGAGCTTGTCTTGTGACTGAGTGAGAATTTTCTCCTTAGTCTCTGCCACCCGGGGCCATGTTTTTTTTTTTGAGAACACGTCAGGCAGTCAATCTGGAAAAGCTTGGGGGTCTGAGACATATAAGATCCTAAGCAGCACACTCTTTGTATCAAAGGTGTCAATCTCTAGGGGAAGTCTTTGCCTTAAAATGTCCTACCCTCTTTGTTATCTTGTCTGTTTGTGAGAGTGAATTTTTGGAAATCTTGGAAACTGCCTTCTCTGTGCCCTCTCTAGGCTAAACCTGGAAAATTACTGCCTGGGTTTTCTGTGAAGAGGCATAATGGATTGAGTCGCTTTTGGAATAAATATACAATTGAGATTAATGGCCAAAGGATGTATCTTTTAAATTAAAAGACTTCTAAATTTTCTTAAAAATAAATATTAGAGATCTCTTATTTGAAACAATTGCCTTATTTGATTTAACAGAGAAATTAGATCAAGAGAAAGACACATAGTATTATGGCTAGCCTTAAAAATTCTTTTGACAAAGTTAAAGAGCAAATATCTGGTCTAAAACAAAGATGAAAAAATCCTTTGAACTTTTACCCTGTGGAAATAATGGCATAGGCCAATTTGCTTTGTGACCTAATGGTTAAGGGTCTGTCTTTCACCCCAGTAGCCTAAGTTTGATTCCCAGGCAGGGAATGAGACTGTTCTGGTTTGATGTTTGCATAACTTTCACTATTCATTGATTCTCTTCGCTTCCTTACACACAGCTTTTGCTTTCCTGTATTCTTTGGAGGCATATGGGGCTTTTAGATATTTACGTATAAATGATCAGCTGAAAAGCTGGAACCCTACAAAATATGGTTGAACAAAAACTGTAAGTTATACCTTGTTTATGGCTATCAAGGTTTTTCTTTCTTTGAGTTGCTTTTATGGCTTTTCTCGATCTTATAAAAACTGTTATCCACTTCTTTAAAAACACCTCTTGCTTTCTTGATTAAATTATAACCTTGGTTAAGGCTTACTGGTTTCACTTAAAAGGATACTTTAGTTTAAAAGTTCAGAAGCAAAAATGTCAGCTGTTTGTCCGAGCTAAGTCTGCTCCACTCATCTTCACTCCTCCTTATTCCTTCCTCTCTGCCAGTCATGAAGTTTGAGCCAATCAGAGGCAGCCAATTGTTCAAACTGTATTTCAGTAAGGCAAATGCTGGAGCTGTAACCAATCCAGCTATTTCTACACCTAACTTCCATTTCCTGTTCCTTTCTCTTTTCTGTCCATGAATTTTCAACCATGCTACACCATTAGAGTCTCTCTGTAACAGAGGGAATGGCCTAAAAAGAAAAGGGCAAAAAGATTTTCTGTCTTTTTGGGACAGAAAAGAGTTCCCCACTCTTTTGGGAACTGCAGCCTGGCCTGCATCCCTGAAGTGGGTTAAGTCTTTTGGTAAAACTTCCAGGTGGAAGTCAGCCCCCCAGGTGGGTAGGTGGTGGAGTTCACAGGCTTTGTCTTTGGCTGAGATGGGATTTTAGAATAGTTAACCACGGTAATTGCCTGAAGCTGAGAACCCTCCCTTTAAAAGCTCTGTGTTTCTGCCTATGTTGGGGAAATTTGGGATTTAGAGACGAGAAGGTCCTTTGTCGACAACCTAAATGTCTTTTCCCTTCTTCCTCAAACTGCTTGTCTTCGCACGTCTGATTTGGCCTTGTGGACAAATGGCCGAGTTTTCTGTATCATCTCTGAACATGTGGGTTCCAAGGTAGAGCTCCCACAGACTGCCAGGAGCACCAAGAGTCTACGCGATGTCCTTGCTGGACCTGTTGTCCTTTGCTGTCTCATTGCAACTGAGGTTTGTGGGTAAGTTCTTTTTCAGATTCCAAAGTGCCACAGATTTGTGTTTTGAGCTCTCTGAGTTTGTTTGAGCAAATTTTTGATCCTAGCTGGGTTCAGAAGTTTCGACAAAAACCGAGCTAGGTCTGGGATCAGATTAGTTAATTAGCTTAGATCCAGTCAGAGGCCTCAAATGTCTGACTGGGTCAGGCAAAAACTGACAGTAAATGGCACCACTACGGGGGTGCGAACTCCAGCTTTCAGGAATTCACAGAGATTTCTGTGTTGTATTCCTTTGTTCCTTTTTCTTTTGTACTTGAGTAAGGAAAAGTCACTGCTTAAGTTCATCATGGAGATCTGAGAGTCAAAGCCAAGATCAAGGTAAAAATAGGAAATAGGATCCTTAATTTCTGTGGAACTGAGTATTCCTCTATGCCATACATGTATAGGTAAAGTATTAGCCCTGGAAGTGGCAAATGCTTATAGAAATGGCAAAATCTTACTAAAGGCAAAGTTGTTGCCTAGTTAGTAATTATTTAAAACAGTAAGATAGGTAATTGAAAGATCAAAAGTCTTTTTTTTTTTTTGAGACAGAGTCTCACTTTGTTGCCCAGGCTAGAGTGAGTGCCGTGGCGTCAGCCTAGCTCACAGCAACCTCAAACTCCTGGGCTCAAGCAATCCTGCTGCCTCAGCCTCCCAAGTAGCTGGGACTACAGGCATGTGCCACCATGCCGGGCTAATTTTTTCTATATATGTATTAGTTGGCCAATTAATTTCTTTCTATTTATAGTAGAGACGGGGGTCTTGCTCTTGCTCAGTCAGGCTGGTTTCAAACTCCTGACCTCGAGCAATCCGCCCACCTCGGCCTCCCAGAGTGCTAGGATTACAGGTGTGAGCCACCGCACCCAGCCTAGATCAAAAGTCTTAATAAAAATAATAATATTTAAGAGCTGACAAATAAAAATTCTTTATAAGAGCTATTAGAACTGCTTCTGTCTATATGTCTATATGAGTATGTGTCTATAGATGTCATGTGTTTGTGATATTTTACTACCAAATTATATAAAAGAGCTCTAATTAATTAGCTTTAAAAAATAAGTGCTTAACAAATAAGTGCTTAAATCAAATATTTTATCAAGAAAATAGAAACTAACTCAAATGTTTTTTAGTTCACATGACTTTAAGAATCAGTAATTGAAAGGCAATGCATATAACCTAAACATTTGTATCCTCATAATATGCTGAAATAAAATAAAAATCAGTAATTGACCTCTGCTGAGTTTTCTTTTCAATTCTGTTATGCCCCAATTCACAATTTCTCTTTCCATTCCCCTTCGGAGGGAGATAGTTAATGTGGACCTGAACACCTCAGAGATACTGTGAGTCTCCTTCAATATTCTCTCAAATTCTCTAGGCTGATTTAGACTCTATAACCTTTACCTAGAGACCCACTCTTGTTCAGTACTTGTTCAGTATGTTAATAATCTTTTACTCTGTAAATAGTGTGTATTCATAGACTCCCTCATTCTTTTAAAGACTCTAGCTAAATTGAGGCCATAAAGCCTCTATGTCTAGACTCCAATGGATACAGACAGCTGTTACTTAGGACATGAGATATCTCAGAGTCCTCAAAAGCTTACTCCAAAATACCTTTTGTTATGGCCCTCACTAGAGCTTGCACATTGGCAAAAGGAAAAGCTGCCACTATTTATGTGGAATTCAAATATGCCTTTGGAGTCTGCCATGTAGTTGGCATAATTTGGAAATCTCATGGTTTCTTAACTTCTGCTGGCATTCCTATTGCCAATAAATCTGTAATATCAGATAGATTGTATATTGGGCCAAACAGGGTCCCTATGGCCCTTTTTCTTTTAACTTTTTGACTTGTACTTATCTTCTATCACATGGGATATATGTGCAAATGGGGGCTAATTAAGAGAAAAAAATATATATATAGTTTGTACTGCCCGGGATCTATAATATCCCTGACCAAATTATTTCCCAGTGATCTATTTGTAAATCTTACCAAATTTCTGGAGTAAACTGACCCCCAAAGGCCCAGACTGTCCATTTTTGACACTTGAAATTAACTTTATAGATTTACCTCCAGCTTTAGGCTTTTCTCACTGTTACGTTATTGTTTTCATGATTAGTAGATAGACTAAGTGCTATCCACTGTTACCAAACAGTGGTAAAGGAATTAGTAACTCAGATTATTCCTCCTTTTGGTATTCCTTTATGGACTGAGTCAGATCAAGGGACTCATTTTACAGCAGAAATAAACCACTTGCTTGGGAAGGCTCTGGAGTGCTCATTAAAATTTCATGCCCCATATCATCCCCAATCCGCAGGACAAGTCTAGAAATAAAAAGGACTTTGAGAAATATCTGTCAAGACACTGGATTTAAATGGCCAGAAGCATTGCCTTTGGCCCTTATAAAAATCTGGAATGCTCCAATTAGAAGACGTGGTTTAACCCCCTTTTGAAATAATGTTCTGACACCCATGCCCAGTGACGACTATAAGCCTTCTATTTCTGGACTATGGGGATTTAAGTGAGCCATTTGATACTATGACTAGCTACATACAGACACTAACTAATATGCTTGGAGCATATCATCGACAGGTGAAAGGAGCATGGCCTCCGCCAACTGAGAAACGTTATGCCACTCTTTTTTTGACCAAGAGATCGTGTGTACATCAGAGTTTTTAGAAGAAGACACACTGTCACTTCACTGGGAAGGCTCTTATGAAGTACTGTTAACTGTGTACATTGCCATAAAAACTAAAGAAAAATCTTCCTGCACTCACATGAGCCACGCCAAACTACATGGAGACAATTGAAGGACGAATTCTACAGGTGACCTGAAAGTAAGGATTTCCAGGGCCAGTTCCCCCCACCACCAAATGGTCCTTTTTGGACACTTCTTCTTTTAAGCCTCCCCTTTCAAGGCTTGCACATTGGAAGCTGAGTGGAGATTGCTTCAATCTATCCTATTCTCCCTTTTATCTTCCACTATAGACTCTTCTTTCAAACTATGCCTTGCTCTTACTAACTCTTCCTGTTTTCCCAGCAAATCAGGCACAGACTTGGTGTCCCTTTACACTAGTTTTTCAAACCCTGGCCACACTAACTACCTATGGAAGACTGATTTAATGGGGTGTGGGGAAATGTGCTTAGGTCTATTCTTTTCTGCTTATTTGTTCTCATTCTAATCTATGTTCTTATCTCCCTTTTCAGATCTCTTGTTACTAGAGTACTAACCCAACTGCTCTCTCTACAGCTACCGACTCAGCCTTTAATGTATGAAACTTCTAGGGAAGTTGCAGACAGGGCGAATGGAGGGGCTCAGGAAATTTCACCCCAAAATATGACTCCTTGGTATAAAGAATATTTTGAATTACAGGCCCTTGGAAATAAAAAGGCCTGTCTCTCTATCTGCATAAACCAGACTGACCTTATCAAAGGGCCAATTGACTTCCCTTCCTATCCCTGTTATCTCAGTATATTGTAGGAAAAAATGACCAAGAATGCAACCAGACCTGGCTCAAGTCATTTAAATATAATACCTATCCTTCGGGTTAATATAATTTGCAAAGATATCATTTACAAGTCAATCTGTCTCCCTCAACAATTTGTCCTCCCCAGCACCATTTGTCACCCCCAGAGTTACCTGTACTCCTTATCTCTCCCTTCTTCCAAAAATACAGGTATAAAAATATCTGAACTTCATTGGGATGTGTGGGAATCACTCTGTTCTTCCCATGTGCACAGTAAATAAACATTTGTCTTATTAATCTGACTTAATTGTGAGCTGATCTTTCAGCAAACTTTCAGGGGAAAGGTCTAGTTTCGCCCTACCCCTACAACATAAATGGATTTCAGTCAGAAATGTAGACATGCAATACTTGGATATCTTGAAAACATCTCCTGGGATGACATATATTTGAGATAACTATTATTACTATGGGCAAAAAACTAGTATTAGGCTGTATTTAGAATCTTATTAAGGGTCAAGTAAAAAAAAAGTCACTGAAGTGATTTTTGTTTAATGAAATTTATATCTTTATAATATTAATGTTAATGTTACTCATTTCTTTTTGTATTTATATAAATAAGTAAATAGCCATAATATGCTTAAATACATACCCATATTCTTTTATCCTTACAAAACAATATTTGAGACAGAGGCACAAGGAAACATTTTATAAACTGGTTACTCAATTTTGTCTGTTTTGGGGCAGGATGAAGAAGATTATTGTTTTGTAGGCCAAAAGTATAGAAGTTTTATGTTAAAGAGTTTTGGTTAAGGGTGGGTTCAGTGAGGCAAGGGCATTGTGAAATGATTAATATTATGTGTTAACTTGACTGGAACACAAGGTGCCCAGATATTTGGCCAAACATTTTTCTGGAAGTGTCCTTGAGGATGTTTTGGACAATATTAACATTTGAATCAATAGACTGAGTAAAGCAGATTGCCTTCCCTAGTGTGGATGGACCTTGTCCAACCAGCTGAAGGCCTGCGTAGAACAAAAAGGCTGACCTTCTTGAGAGTAAGAGGATACTCCTTCTGCCTGATTGTTTGGCATGGACATTGATCTTTTTTCTGACTTCAGACTCAAACAGAAACATTTTCCCTTTTTGGATCTTCAGCCTGCTGGCTTTTGGACTGAAGTGTATACCATTGGCTCTCCTGGTGTCCAGTCTGCTGAAGGCAGCTCTTGGGAATTTTTAGCCTCCATAATTGCATGAGCCAATTCCTTATGATAAATTTATTTCTCTATATTTGTATATATCCTATTGGTTCTAATTCTCTGCAGAACCCTGACTGATATAGGTGGTAATCTCTATGCCTGTGTTCCTCTTGATGTGTCCACCTCTGTTCCATCTTCTAAAACATGACAGAAATTAAAAGTATAATCAATAGTGTCACACTGCACTTCTCATACAGAGACAGCAAAATCCACAACATGCATTCTCCCCAAGATCCATTGATCAGCCCAGACACATTAATCCCTATTTAGCCCAGGGCTTAGGCCAGAAGATAAGGTAAATGCACTTAGCATAAGACACTGACTTTTAACTTTTATTAATAACCCAACTTTTTCAAAATTTAAAAAATTGAGTGCGAACCAGTCACTCACACACAGCATCTATATTTAGTTCCTGCAATCAATCAAATTCATAATGTTTTTCTAGGAGAAAGAGCTTTTTAAAACCTGACCTTGCTCAAGGTTAAAGATGCTGATTTTTAAATAACTGAAAATTCCAAAATGATCTTTACTCTTTGAAAGTATTGTGGAACAACAATTTTGGTAGAGAGATATTTTATCTGTGATATTTTCTAATGATGTATAAAAACTGTCTCTAGGATTCTAGATGTGGTACTGTTGATGCCCATGAGATCAAAACAGAAAGCTTTGGTAAGTCCCACATGGTGCTGGAACATTGGGCTTCCCATGAATTTTAGTCAAAGGTGACATTGGAATTTCTGGTGCTCCTTGTAAGTTTCTCCTTCAGTACAGCTGTTTTTCACCCAATTCACTGAGAAAAGGTGTGAATAACCATCCACTAATGATAACAACTTGGGTCTAATCAGCTATTTAAGCTAACTTGGGTTTAATCAGCTAGTAATAATTCTAAAGCCACTTTGCTATTTATATTGCAGAAAGAGCTATCAGGAAGCCATCAAAAAATGTTTCGCATTTAGGCACTTTTTGCTGGCTCAGGATAGTGATTAAAAAAAAGAAAACATGTAAGAAGAGGAATAAGAATTGAGAGCTTTATAGCCTCATTTTTTTTTTTTTTGTCATGATCTTTTTAATCTGCCACTGGCCAAGTTTCCTCTTAGTAAAAACTCTGAGTTGAAATGGAAAGACTTGGGAGCTGCTTGTGTCTTGCTCTCACCTTCTGAAGAAGCTGTACGGTTTTAAAAATCTAGACGTTCTGGAGAGCAAACCCAATAAGTTTGGATTCATCTATCAATGCATTTGTTAAATATTTATTGAATATTTACCATATGTCAGGCATCAAGCTAGTCAGTGGGGATACCAATCATCAGCAAGAACAGACATACCCCCTGTCAGCATGAAGCACACATTTTAGAGGGTGAGACTGATGGACTTTAAGCACATAATGATATGAATTGCAACAGTAATAAATGTCACAAAAGAGATCTTATAATAGGGGCATATGATCTAGTTAGGAAGGTCAGGGAAGGCCCTCCAAAGGAAGCAATGGTCATACTGATACCTGAAGAATGAGTAAGAGTTAATTATGCTGTCAGGGGAGGAGAAACTAGAACACGCGGAGGAAGTAGTATGTGCAAAAGCCTGTGGCAGGAGCAAACATTACAAGTACAGGAGACAGGACAGGTGTGACTGGAGCCCAAAGGTAGGAGGTCGAGGAGGAATTGAGTGGTGGGAGAGAACAAAGTAAGGGCAGGTGGGAGACTGACCAGGGAGGACCTTATAAGTCATGTCAAGGAGTTGTGTGGTTTTGAGCTATACTGATGGACTCACTTTCTGGGTAATTTAATGTTTTCCATTTCCACATTTCAGAAGAGTAAATGTACTATACCAAGAATGCAGATGGGTTAAGAGACATTTATCCCCCACAATATTAGTTATGGCTTTAACTTCAGTCCTTTGAAAATCTATCACTACCCATTATTACAAAAAATTAACTATATTAAAGTTAATGCTATTAATAGAAAGAGATTAGTTCAAAAGTTTAGGCTGTGGACTAAATGAGAATGTATTGGTGGGAAGGAGGAAAAAGTTCCCCTCAGGAATTCAAGTCTTTTGCAGTCTAATCTTAGTTGAACTGACCCTACCTATTATTGCAGGCAAACTAATTAACCTTTCTTGCCTTGGTTGCTTTTCTGCAGAGTGAAGATAATGATGACCCATTAATAGGACTGAAAATCATTCTGTAAACACTAATAGTCATATAAATAATGTAAATAATGACTTATCCCATTGTATAACTCCAGTTCTTACCTCAGAGTTTAAACATCTTCTCTTTGCCTAAATAATGTCAGGTTTTATTTTTGTCAAATAGCGCCGTGTGTGTGTATGTGTGTTGGGGAGGGGGTGTGTAGAAGTGAGCTCATGTTTATTTTCATATATAGCCAAATTTGTGTTTATAGAAAAGACGTTCTCTCTTCCTGATGCCTATTGTTTACTATTGTTACAGCAATACTCTGGGTCCCTAATCACAGTCTCTCCTCCTGATGGCAGCTGGTTTAACGTAGTGGGGATGCCACTGGGAGAGAAGGGGGGTGAGGTGGGGTGGAAGGGGATAGAGGAATAGGTACTTTTAACTTCTTTTTAGATGACAACTTTTCTTGTCTGTTAAAGAAGAAGAGTACACTTCTATTGTTTGATAAGCATATTGCAACTGTATCAACTATAGTTAAGCATCTCAAATGGAGCCAGCAGGCACATACCACCACGCCAAGAAGTGGCAAAAGGAAGAGGCTCTTAGCTGGGTTTTATTGTGGATTCACTGATTCATATTTAAATCACCATCTCTTTTCTAACATTTCCAATAATTTTATGGGAAGTATTTATAAACTGTCCTTCTTCAATGGCATAAAGATCCCCCATTTTCATAATTATCCTTGGTTACCATGCCACATTTTCTTTACCAGCTGAAAGGAAATCATAATTGATCTTCTGGAACAATAAAATATTTGCAGAATTGGAATAGCTATTTCTCTGTGAGCTCGAAAAATTCTCATTTTTTTTTCTTTAGCTGAAAAAATTGATGTCCAGTAAATATGAAGGCTTTTTTACATGATGACGCAATGACTCAGACATGAAACTGTAAAGTTTTTGTTGGGATGACTTGGCCTATAGACTGGGGCTACCTGAAGACCCTGGTTAGTGGCCATGACTGGCCAATGAGGCACAATGAACTGGACAGAACCAATCTTTTAGTTCTGACCCAATTCCCTTGTGTCACGTTGCTATTGTAGTTTTCCTGCCCTTTTGTTCAAATAAAAGGGAGAATAGGTGTTTGAATTTTTTAGTGCAGGCTGAACAATATCTCTGACACGTGTTATGTGTTCTATACAGTTCTTACCTGATTGGACCTTCTTCCTCAGTTCCTATGTCCTTCTGCCCTGGCATTGTTCTGGTTGGTTCTGTTGGATTTTGAGGGTCAGGGTTTGTGGTCATATCTCTGAAGGAATTTTTCTCAGAGGTTTTATCTATGAAAAAAGAAACAACATACAGATAGAAGAATATATGCCATTTTTGAGACAGTTTTATTTGACAACATAAGCTACGAAGATGCTGCTTGTTTTCCAGAATAGTCTTTTCAGAAATGCCTCCCCCAGGGTTCCTCCTAAAAAAAGTAGGACCTTGTACAGGAGGAGTTATCCTGTAGACACCTTCAGGCCAATAAAAAATATATAGTCATGAGTTGCTTAATGACGGGGATATGTTCTGATACAGGGAATATATCATTAGGCAATTTCATTGTTGCACAAATATCATAGAGTTATACAAACCCAGGGAATCTAGTCTACTACATACTTAGGCTAGACAGTGTAGCCTATTGCTCCTAGGACTACAAACCTGTACAGCATATTACTGTACTGAATACTGTAGGCAATTGTAACACAATGGTAAGTATTTGTGTATCTAAACATAGAAAAGATATAGTAAAAATACAGTATTGTAATCTTACGGGACCACTATTGTATATGTGGTCCACTGTAGACTGAGACATTATTATGTACCATGTGACTATACTTAAAGTTAATGTATTATGTAATAAAAAGGTCATGTGAACTGGACACAGCGGTTCATGCCTATAATCCTACCATTTTGGGAGACTGAGGTGGAAGGATAGCTTGAGGCCAGGAATTCAAGATCAGCCTGAGAAATATAATGAGACCCTGTCACTACAAAAAATAAAAAAATTAGCTGAGTGTGGTGGCTCGCACCTGTAGTCCCAGCTACTTGGGAGGCTGAGGCAGGAGGATCACTTGAGCCCAGCAGTTGTAGGTTGCGGTGAGCTAGGCTGACACCACTGCATTCAAGCCTGGGCAACAGAGACAGACTTTGTCTCAAAAAAACAAAAACAAGAACAAAAAAGCAGTTTACAGGTATATTTCTTTTTGATATTAGCAAAGCTAAGAATAAAAATTCATCATTCAACAGGCGTTTTTGGTTTTTCTAAAGTTTTCATAATTTGCAGCTGAATTGATGCATCACAAAATTCACAAAAATAAAATAGACAAAAATGATGTGATTGACATTATTTTAGAACTTGCATTCTGATTTTTTTATGAAATCAAGTTTTGATTTTGGTTGACAATTTTTGATTGTCTTTAGCTATGACATCTTTACTAAAGAAACAACACAAACTAATATATAAAAATGCAATTTCCAATTAATATAGTTTAAATTTTAATTCACTCAGAGAATAATCAACTCACTGGCAAATATTTGGATTATAGAGAAGGTTTTAATGAAAGTAAATTGCTTAATATTAAAAGAAAACAGAAACAGGAAAGAAAAAAATGAATACAATTTAGTGGTTATTCATTATCCATGGTTTCTAATTTATTTTTAATTGGTTGTTTTGTGCTTAGAAAATGGAAATCAAGGCCCCAATCATTACTCTTATTTTATTGCAATCCATTATAATTTAAAAATTTAAGCAAACTTAGTATTGAAAATTTTATATTTGCCAAAATGATAAAGCAAGTGTGATCACTATAAAAATTTTCACCACACAAGACCTTTAATATGAAATTTTCTATGATCCATCTAAAAATTTTTCAAAGTACTAAACTTTTCAGGAACATGTTTCAGGAATAAAGGGAGTCATAAAATCGAGTTACCACTTACAGTTTTAAAAAGTTTTTGAATAAGAAAGTTTAAACCCCTGGAGTTCCCAAGACTCTTTATCACGCATCTCCTACTTACATTTACTTTGGAATTATAGTATTTTTGGCCAGAAGGTAGAAAACACAGTATTAATTATGTTTTTGTTATGTTTAAATGAAAAAGAAAAAAACCCCAAAGCCCCCAATTTATTTGTGATACAAAGTAGCCTCAATATAATCACATCCTCAAAGTCTGTGTGTAAAGACTGTGCTCCAGGTGCAATATTGCTCCGTGTATAGAATCTTACTGAAAGCTGTAGGATAGAGGACTTTTTACACAGGCACATGTGGTACACTAATGAGTTCGTTAGTATCCAATAGATGTCAGAGTAAAAAAATAGCACTTTCAATATATCATTTTGTACTACTAGGCTTTTGAATAAAAGATTGAAGAATCTGTTTTCCCTATATGATTGGATCAAGCTGTATTTTCCTATTGTATTGCTGTCTAAGAAAGAGGTGGCCTAATCCTTTTCTTATATCCACAAACACTGGGACGATTACTGGAAGATATTTTAACGTAAAGTTCTTAAAGTTCTCAGGCCACGATGTCTAGTGCTTTTGTGGATTGAAATCCTTGAGATTGTATGTTGTATATGCCTTTTTTCACATAGAGAGCATCTAGAGTTATTATGGGCTCCTCAAGGGGGTCTGGGCCGAAAAAGGTTATGGACGATTGTGTTCATATATTTTTCTAGGAATACCTACCTTAAAAGAAAATCAGTACTGAAATAGAACATGCAATATGACTTTTAAAATCTGAAAAAATCCTTGAATATAAAACAAGCAGAATCTGTAAAACATCATTTCTTAAAAGCCTTTTATTGACTATTTCTTATTTAGCCACATGGATATAAGCTGCATCAGATACTGGCTCCATTGCTCATTCAAGCTACAGCATGTGCATTACACTTGCAGTATTAGTTTTTTATCTTGTACCAATTAAACGACCGACTGCGTTGCAATAGTTCTTTTCTTCAATTTGTTTATCATCACAACATTTGGATTAAATTAACTCTAAGTAGATCTCATCACCTTACTAAGTCTTCCCTAGACATTATCAAGCCCTTCTAAAATGACACTGCCTCTGTTATAACAAGTCTAGGATATTTATAAATTCATTTCAGCCTAATTTGATTTGTGGATAAGCACTCAATTACAAAATAAATCCCCCATTAATATAGTTTATTGATGAAGACGAGAAACCAGTTATTGCCTATTCTTGGATTCTTGTTAAGTCCTCATGAAAAACCCATGAGGACTTAACAACAAAAGGATCCCTGTCAGCTATAGTTCAGTGCTGGTGTCTTTTTATCCATGCAGCCTGTTATTTGTTTGTGGAAACAGATGGTCAGAGTGTTTGCATCATCCTCATCATGAAAGAAAAATCTAAAATACAAGGCAAATCTTGCTCTGGCATCTGGGTGAAGTTTTGTCAACTGCACATTGTACTTTTTCCCAGCTTCACACATGGACAGCAGGATTCTCTCTTTCATAGCTGCCCAAATGGATAGCGGTAAGTCTCTCTGCCAACTGTGCTCTTTGCACGTTGTATAGCAATTGCCAGATCTCATCAGTACACTCGATCGCATTCTGCCCTGGAATGTGTGCCCGCGGCAGATAGTGAAATCTGGAATCAAAGTGTTCTGACATGGTTGCTTTTATTGAATGTGCAAAAATAAGTACTATTGAGTTTGCCCTCCACACATCCAGCTGATTCTGTCTCGAGCCTGGCAGCATCTCACACTGGGCCTGTGTAATACACTTCCAATCTGCTTGGCCCCTATAGCAGCGTATCATGGAGACCCAAGCAGGTGTGAAACATCTGCTTCTCTCTTCGAGTGAGGAAATAAGTGATGCAGAAGCCCATTAACCTTCTGCATTTTATCAGTGACATTAAATAAATGTTGGAAAAGGAAGGATTTAAAGACTGAACCTAACATGGAAATAAAGTTGTAAATTAGAAAGGCACTCAGTTGGCTTGTATTGGATGCAAATAAAAAGGAGAAGACGACAAATGCTCTCATTGTTTGGAATGTTTGGTGTGGGAGATGATATCATTTGGTTGAATTTCTAACTCTTCAGACACCAAAAACATGTGGATATTGTCTCAAAAATAAATCTCTTTTCATTAGAGGCCAATAGTACTTGAGTAACTAGATGTTAGATGAAATAAATACTAAGTCTGTGCACTTTGATTAGATGCATAAATGATACTATTATTTTCATCTCAATGAATGAACATTTGAAGTTGAAGGACTGAATAACACGGTTTTAAGAAGTGTATGATTAATGATTATTTTCTGGCACCCAAAATTGTATTTTTGACTCTGCTTGTGGTTAATTTCATAGTTGCTAGATTATACAATGTACTTAGAATAATTTTAACTATAATACTTTAATCACACTTGAAATTTTATTACATTTTTGTAGATCGTCAAATGACATGCAGAAAGTTGACAAACATTACCCAATGCACATAAAATGGAAAATGAAAGAGCACTCTAACATGTCATTTATAAGAATAGAGAAATGGTATATTTTGTATTAGGACGTGCATGTATAATCTATAAAAAATCTAGAGGAGAAGGACTCAGAGTAGAACAGAGTTCTGGAAACCATCCCTTATGAGGAATTTAGGCTTTTTTTTTTTTTTTTGCTAAAGTATTGAAGATTAACTAGTGACCTAATAGCTATTTCAAATTCTCTAAAGGGCTGATATATATATATATATATATATATGTTTATTTCATATATTCTAGAAGGCAGAAGAAGGACCCATCAATGGAATTTATAAAACAAACAAAACCCCCAAACATTCTAACAACTCGTCTAACAGGAAAATGCATTGCTTTGTGAGGCAGGGAAGGCCCCTTTGGCTGGAGGTATTCGGGAGCCTCTAGTCAATCTAAGCCTGTGGTAAGGAAAGGGGTAAGAGGGTCCTTGCATAGGGTCAGAGCTTAGATGTCCTCTAGACAGCCTGAAAGTGCTGTAAAGTCCTGAAGCTATCTTCATATTTAGGAAGGTTTTGACTTTAGGATATATCATCACAAGTAAAGAAATGGACAAATCAATAAACAAAAAAGAATGTGAATCCATCTAAGATAGCTTTAGTATTGTCTCAGCATAGAAGAATCCTGTCCTCTCTCAATGTCATGCTGGGTTTCAGGGACATTTTTATTGAGAATAACTCATCTAGAAAACACATTTTATGTATAGGTATTAAGGAATGTGGTGAGTTACCAGAGCTGGGTACCAAATAGAGAGCTGCAATCCTTACATAACTAATTCTCTGGGTGACTCTGGGTAAGTCGCTTTTCTATGACAGTTTCCTCATCCATAAAATGAAAAATACTTTTGTCCTGGGGATTTCTGTGAGGATTAGATAAAGACTCCATTTGAGAAAAATGCAATATAAACACAAAATGTTCCACCAGTCAGACTAGGGTAAATTGCTTCTTTTTCTTTTCTTTTTCTTTTTTTTAAAGATATATTAACTCTTCCAGGTCTGCATAGCACTGGCAGATGTGGGGAACGCAAGAGCTTCCATTCATTTAACAGAATCCTGGGGATAAGGAAAGTATAATGCAATTTCCCACAAGTCAGCTATATTCTTTGGCAGAAAGAAGCCTAAAAGCACAGAGTTTAATTGAATTATGCAAATATATTTAAATCATGCAAACTACAAAAAAGTTGACATTTTAAAGGGAAAAAACACACCCTTTCCATGTTGGTTAGATTGTCTTTAGTTTTTAGTTTCTAAAACAGGTAATAGTAATTTTGTCAGTCAGTCTGGTCTTCTATTCAATATTCAAAAGGGTATGTTTTCTATGCCTAACTTCTGTTTTTAGCTGATAGATATAGCTCTACCCTCTGCTCCCTCTTCAGTGAGGCACCTGTCTACGACTTGTAGGAATGGTTACTGATTTGTGCACACGTCTGGGCACCTGACCACAAGAGGGCAGCCTGTCCACAGCTGGCTGGTGATCCCCATGGTGGTATGCCCAGTGAGAACAATGCCTGTTATCTAAGTCGGTCAGACTACTCTCTTTGGAATTTGGACAGGGAAATGAGTACAAGGGAATGAGTGCAGTCCAGAGTAGATATGCAGAGAAAACACAGTGGTCATGAGACATGAAGCCATCATCACCATGAGTGAGATAATTAGCCTCTAAGCTGTCTCTGTCCCCTGAACGGCTTTTCAGCTCCAGTTATCCATAAGTTTTCTTACCATGAGCCCCTGCCACTGAGGATGCCCTGATTACGTCTCTGGACCTTGCCAGACCAGCATGGTTAGGAATTTTTTTCCATCGTTTCAAATTAGAAAGCACATGGCATTTCTCTTTTTTCTAGACTATATTTTTAGAAACTTTACATGCTAAGTTTATTCATTTCTCTATTCTTTGTTTATAATCATATCAGGTATCACTTTGAAAGAATTTACTTCTAATTGCTTACTAGATAAGACAATTTCTGTTTGAATGAAGCAGAGAAACATGCTTGAGTAGTTTTGTCAATAAGTTTCATACATTTCTTTTTGTTTGTTTCTATATTCCACCTTATCCTTTGCCTGATGAATAGCACTGGCAGTTATAAGGAGTGGACTACAGTACTACAATTAGCTGTAGTAGTACTTCCCATGCATGCCAATCATCTGGTTGGTTTTGTATAGGGAAGCATTGGTTGATTCTTGTAAATTAAGTTTCAGTAGATAGTCTGGCTATTTTTCTATTCCGTGTAGGACAAATTAAATGATATATGCTGATTCTTACTGCCAAGGACTGAAGAGTGGTTTCCTATTTAAACAAATCAGGATTTCTTTCCCATCCCTTTTTCTAAAAAAAAAAAAAGGGATTTGTTTTTTTAGAGCAGTGTTAGCTCTAGAGCAGTCTTTAGCTTTCTAGATTGCTGTCCAAACTGAGCATTGACTGAGACACAGGCTGGCTTGGTTTGGAGAGATGATGGGGGTCTGGGTGAGGGCTGGGGTACTCTGTAGACCTGGCCTTGGAACCCAGAAGTCTTAGCTGTGGAGAGCTCTTTGGAATGGAAGGCCCAGGGAGCTTCCCCATTTGTAGTCTGTTTACAAACCAAATACTAGGATGGGGAGCATGAGTAAAGAGGAAGGCAATTAAAATGTGTATTTGTAGTCTCTCTAGACAAGGTGGAATACCTGGTATCTCTGGATTCTCATCCTCATGAGGGAGCAATTTGGGGAGCTGAGTGGCCTCTGGCCTCCTCAGGCAGGGCACACATGGTCCTCGTTTATGGGGTCTGTCTGGCTTCTATCAACTTTGGATTTACTAATCTCCATGCTCAATGCTTTACATATTAATATATTAACTAATTTATTTCTCATTCACAACCATTTTATTCTGGTGAGTTTGATCAAAAAATAAATCATTCCATTTTATATTAGTAATATATATTACTGGAATATGGAAAATATGGAATATTTTAAAGCCATAGGTATTAGTTTTCTGTTGGTGCTTTAACAAATTACCACAAACTTAATGGCTTAATGTGACATAGTTTATTATCTTATAGTTCTGGATGTCAGAATCTGAAGGTCAGCATTCCTTCTGGAAGCTTCAGGACACAATCCATTTCCTTGTCTTTTCCAGATTCTAGAAGCTACTTGCATTTCTTGATTTCTGGTTCCTTCCTTTACCCCCAGAGTGTAGCAATCCAACCTCTGCTTTCATCGTTCCATTTCCTTCTTCTGCCTTTGACTCTTTTACCTTATAAGGCCCCTTTGATTACACTGGGGTTGTCTGGATAATCCAGAATAATCTTCCCATCTCAAGATCCTTAATAACATCAGCATTTTTTTCATGCTAGGTAACATATTTATGGATCTAGGGATTAGGGCATGGAAGTCTTTGGGTGGCTATTATGTGAGGTAGCTTACCACATCATATTAGCTATGAGTACTCAAGTTTAACCCATTTCCACACAAATAAGGTCACTTTGGAGCACCATAAACCATTAGATTAGTCATTTACATATCCTCTACTGGTACCAAACATTTGGTTAAGGAAGCATTTAATGTAATATCAGTGAAGTAGAAGCCTAAGAAAGATGATTGTAATCAAAAGAGGATGTTAGTAAGTTATCTTTATTTGAATCCAAAATCTGTTTCATTCTTCATTTCCATGGCAGATATAAATTAAACCATGCTCTGCAGAAGATAAGAATTCTATAATCAGAAATCAACATCTGCAGATTTTATGACATTGCACCTGCATGTTTTGAAGTAAAGAACACAAAAATACCAAGCATGTATTGGAGGCTATCTTTAAACACTAATAATTTTGCTTTTTCAAGACAAAATATCTTAAATATAACGGTTATTCCTATTGAAGTCTTTGAAGACATGCTAAGTCTGCAGATTTAAATGATACTATATTTTTCTTCCTACTCAAATAGCTCCTCTGTTAAATGAAACTTCCACAAAAGAGTTTTTTATTACCAGCTATGAAAAATTTAAGCTTACAAATACACTTTGAAAAAAGTATAACAAAGATAAGAATAAACTTGTCATTCCAAACATGTGACCGTTGGTTTTATGCCATTAAGGCTATATTTTTCTGTGCAAAGAATTGTAGATTTAAACCGTCACTATTATAAAGTAATTCATAGTAAAACAGAATTATAGTGTGAATTAAATTATTTTGATAATTCTGTGGCCTTTTTTGTTTTTTTTGTTTTTCCTTGGTGCATGTAGATCTTATTTCTACTGTAGAATGTTTGTTTCCCTTTTCCTCAATACTTTATTTGTTAACCACATTTCAGTATATGCAGTGAGGATTCTTGTTTGATTTACAGAAGGGCTTTCTCCTTTTAAAATAATTTGAAGATTGAATAATGTTCTACTGGTGATAAAGAAAATAGCTAGAACACATTTTTACTTATCCTCTTAGCATATGATTCTATTTGTGGAAGTTTTATATATATGGACTTTTATTATAAATAGAGCCTTATGATTATTAAATACTTTCATTAACACATTATACTAAATATTTTAAAATCAGATAATCTACAACTGAATAGCCAAGCTTAACTCATTAGTTAGGAAGTAATATTATATTGCATTCATGTTGAAAAACTTATTGCCGGACATTTACTTATTTTATTTCTTTCTATTCAGGTAAGTAAATGCTGACTATATATTTGGGAAATAATGTTTTCCTATCTGCTTGGCTGAGATGAAAATGCAGAAGAAAGATAGTGGCAAAAACACCTGGTCTGTATAAGACCAAGTAAGTATTCTCCTATGCATTCTAATTTGAATAATAAAAACTCAGAGCTGTTCTTAAAAATAAGTAAATAAAGTCAAGAAAACGAAAGTAAATTTTCTTCCCTTTGTTTTTTTAAAAATTGTATTGCTTAAAGTGGGTAGAGAAGAGGTTGTGAAAATAGGAATATAAATTAATTTAGGGAAAAAAATCAACATCTTTAAAATATTATCCTCCCGAGTGGAAATGTATTTCTTTCCAATTATTTAAGTTTATTTTACATCTCCTTGTAAAATTCAGTTATTTTCTTCACATAGATCCTTTCCTTTTCTCTTAAATAGGAATAGCCAAGTAGAATAAGAGTGGGGCCATTTGTTCAAAGTAGTGCTTTTGATTGGGAGGATATTCCTTGATAGCAATTTGTTTATTTAAACCCTTTCTTGTGATTTTTTTTTTATATACAATCTTGCTTGCAATTTTTGTGTATTTCTTATTTTTTCCTCCTTAGAGAAGGGAAATTCTGGCTAGTAAAAATTCAGTTGTGCCTCAGTTCAGGTATTTGTTTTAAGGCAAATAGAATGCCATTAAAAAATCATCATACACAGACTGTCTAATAGATGAAAAGAAAAACATTTGTTCTAGTTCTATGGCAATAGTTTTTTTGTTTTCATTATTTAACATAGGCACATTCCGTTCCAGTGATTCCCCTCTCATTTTTGCATTTTCTTGTTTAGGGTATAGCATTCTTACTAAGGAGAAGCAAGAGAGAAGGTCTAAAAGGGGGCCTGGGACTAGATGGCATTAGGTTCTACAAAGTTGGGTGGAGGAATTTAGATTTTGTCCTGCAGGCAATGTGGAGGCACTTAAGTTTCTTGAACAGAGGTGTAAGCTAAAGTGGTAGCTAATGGAAAATCTGGTAATGGTATTTGGGCTGGATAAAAAGGAAAGAAGGTGAAATAGAGTTCTAAATGGAAGAGACCACTGAGAGAGGCTGCGAGTAGTGCAGGCATGAGTTACTAATAAGGATCTGAGCTAGGATGATATTGCTGGGATTGGAAAGCAAGGAAGAGGGTTTGAAGATCATCATGAAAGGAGATTTGGTGACTAATTTCTTTTTCAGCACATACTAGATAGAGGAATAAAACATGAGTGAGATTTTGGGCTTGGGAGCTGTAAAGAATGAAAGTATCAGAGATAGAAGTAAATCAGCAGGGGGAGCTTCTTTGATGGGAAAGATACGGAATTTAGTTTTAAACATGCTGTCTTTGGGATGTAGCCGAACATACAAGTGTACATGTCTACTGGTTAGTTGGAAAATACTGAACAAGGTCTTAAACAAGAAGTTGGTCTGATATGGATTTGGAATCATTCACGTAGAACTGAATGTGGTAGCCTTAGGAGCAGATGGGACTTTTAATGGGAAGAGTTTAGAGGGAGGGGGCAGAGGAGTGAGCACTGAACCTTTAAATGTGTATAATCAGGATGGGTGTGGTGGCTCACGCCTGTAATCCTAGCACTCTGGGAGGCAGAGGCAGGTGGGTTGCTCAAGGTCCAGGAGTTCAAAACCAGCCTGGGCAAAAGAGAGACCCCGTCTCTACTATAAATAGAAAGAAATTAATTGGCCAACTAATATATAGAGAAAAAATTAGCCGAGCATGGTGGCACGTGCCTGTAGTCCCAGCTACTAGGGAGGCTGAGGCAGAAGGATTGCTTGAGCCCAGGAATTTGAGGTTGCTGTGAGCTAGGCTGACGCCACGGCACTCACTCTTGCCTGGGCAACAAAGCGAGACTCTGTCTCAAAAATAAATAAATAAATAAATAAATGTGTACAATCCATATCCATTTTACTGTCTTTGTAACCCTTATCATTGTCTGAAATTGTATTGTTTACTATGTGCTTACTTGTATATGATCTGTTTCATTTTCTCTAGAATACAAGCTCCATGTTAGCACAGACTTGGCCTATATTATGCACCACTGCATGCCCAGCCCATGGTAGGTAATAAAAAAAGGTCTACTGAATAGATGAATGAGTGATTAAATGAAGAAATAATATTTTCGTAAACATTAAGATCTTTGAATAGTCTCGGTGCTACTTTTTAGCTTTTTTCTACAGATTGCATTCTGACCTTGCATTTTGGTGTGTGACTCTTCCACTGTGACTGGAATCATCTTGGTTTTGAGAGATTTCTTTTCACCTTTGTTTTCTTCCTTTGAGGAAAAAAAAATAGAGATTTTTTTTGTGTGTGATGAATTTACATAAAAATGAAGTTGAATGTAAAATGTAACACCACTTTCCACTCAATTATCAATCCTATCATTAATATCGACCATTTGTTTATGATGTACTAAAAGTGATGATTCTTGCACCTCAATGGACATTCTTGGCCCTAGTAGGAAATAATCAACCTCGGCCTTCATAGCTTTTTGGCCTCAGGAACCTTCTGTTTTTGTTGGTGTGGATGCTGCATTTCCTTTGCTCATGTTTCTCTGAATTCTAGGGAGGCCTAGCGTTGGTCCCAGTCCAGGTCTTTAGTGGTAGAACTTAAAATGGTGGAGAGAAGTCTGTTTAGTCCCTTTAGACATAGATCTCTGTCTTCTGTCCATGATTTCATTTGCTTCTACCTTATCATTTGTATGCTCATCTAAGGTTTCCTTTGAAACATATTTATGCCATGCTGGACATGGCCAATGTATGTCTGAAGATGTTCCCATAGCAGAAGAATGAGACAAGATATAAGGTAAGAACACAGAAAGATGGACTCTCAAGCTATGCACAGTCTAGGAAGGGGAAGCAAACACACAAAAATGTAAGTGCAAGAAAATGTAGGTGAGGCCACAATGTCTGTAGAAGATAGAGATGGGGTGTAAACATGGAGTGGTGAGTTCTCTTGGAGTAGAAGGGAAAGGAAGGAAACTATGAGAAAGGAAGTGATTCTATTTTTACAAAGATGAAATTTTGGTTTTCAAGATGGACAAGACTTGGAAAACATTCCGGGAACATTGTACAGGTGTGATTGTGTATAGGTGGAGGAAGACTACAGTAGAAGTGGCTGGATGGGATAGAGTGTGAGGCAAGAAGTAGGTAGGTACAAGGAGGACATTGAGAGTATTGTGTGTTGTGATATGGAGTTTTGACATTATTTACAGGCACTGTATGTCATAGAAGCATTTTAAACTAAAAACAAATTAAATGGATGATTTCATTTAAGCCTCACAGATACCATATGTGTTAGGCAAGGCAGCTATTATTGTTATTATGCTATTCAATAGGAAATTGATTAAGTGGCTAGTCCATATGAACATGGAAAGGTATGGATCCAGGACTATTTATAAATAGTGATAAAGCCTTCTGATTTTAGTTCAGTACTTTTACATCATGCTTGATGTCATTCATAAACATTCCCATCATAGTCTTTATGTGTACACATGTAGACTTATGTGAATAGTGTCTTATTCTAGAGTAGGAGAGAGAGAGGTTGGATCAGGCTGAGTTTGCCATTCTTGCATTATTGTTTATTGATAAGTAGAAATAACCTATGACATTTTGGTTTGTGAATGAACTCTTTGAATGACACTTTAAAAAACACAATATAAATTTATTTATTCCTCCTTATTTTCTTATGACTCAAATAATTTATTTGTACTGCAGAGGCTTATTGTTTAAATGCCATTTTAAAAGGTTATATTCTGTGGAAGAAAATAGGATTTTAACTTTCTGTCATATTTAACATTTAGCATATTTGAAACTGGAAATGAAAAAATATATTTTTCCTATAGCTCCATGCTCTTGGAAAGAACAGATGCAAATAATTCCCCAAATATGACTTTTAAGATATTATAATTTGATGCCAGTAGACTTCATGATTAATATCCACAAATTATGGCTGCAGGAATGGCATGGGGTATACCTAAGGGTTGTTCTACCTGTGCCTAGTTTAAGTACTTCTCTAGTAATCCTGTTTCTGAGGGAAAGAACTCTTTAAGGAGTTTCTGCTTTTTTTGTGCCTTCTCTCTAACATCCCTTTATCTTGTGGACATAGCAGCTGAAAGGGTTGATTCAACTAATATTTTTCCTGTTCTGGAAAAACTCTTCAGCTCTTGGGTGCTGAAGATAGATAAAACAGGGTTCCAGTTCAGGTTTTGTCACTTGCTAGTTGTGCATGAGTGGCAAATTATAATAGGACCCATGCTGTTGTGATGATCAAACACAATTGTGCCTGAAAAGGGATTAGCACATTGCTCAACGCATAGTTACTGGTGTCAGCTATTATGTTCTTCAAGAGAATGATATAGTAGCTACATTATGTACTCTTGGTAGGCAAGAGTTAAATATGAATGTAGTGACTTTTGTGAAGCAAAACGCTGCATGACTAGGTGAAGTATCCAGCTCAATATTTGTGACATTCCATATTTTCTTAAACACATAAATAACTTTTAAAGTGTGGGGTTATTTATTTGGACAGAAGAATTGGAAAGAAATCAAGGGCACTCTCATGAAGGAAGGCTAAGCACAAACCTCTACATCTCCTTTCTACTGCAAAGATAGTCAATGTTAATCAGAAAAGGAAGGTGGGTTTTCCATGGCTAATGTTAAACAATCTCGGTGTTGTCTATCCTCTCGGCTCATTTAAACCCGAATCATTAGACCACGCTACCCTAGTCCCTGAGGCACACTCCTGCTTGTACTTGACGTCTCTCATCTGACTCTTTCAGATGGGAAAATAACTATTGCTCTAAAAATCTTTTGCAGCTCTTTTAGGTAATTCTAGCAAGTAATTCATGGAAATTGTCCTCTAGATAGTTGTAAGTAAATATGGCTTTCGTAATTATCACTTTGGACTTAAACCTGTCACAAAAACACAAATAATTAATAATGATAATCATTGACACTTGGAAAGTATCTACTATGTGTTTCTATACACTGTCTCTCATTCTCAGAACAAAGCTACAGAGCAGATATTATTATCTATATTTTACAGATGAATAGACTTAGAACTTGTGAAAATATTTGTCTAAAGTGGGGTTCCTCCACCTTGGCAGTATTTTTTTTTTTGAGACGGAGTCTCACTCTGCTGCCTGGACTAGAGTGCCATGGCATCAGCCTAGCTCACAGCAACCTCAAACTCTTGGGCTCAAGCAATCCTCCTGCCTCAGCAGGAGCTACCTCCTGAGTAGCTGGGACTATCGGCATGCTCCACCATGCCTGGCTATTTTTTTCTATATATGTTTTAGTTGTCCAGCCAATTTATTTCTGTTTTTTAGTAGAGATGGAGTCTCAATCTTGCTCAGGCTGGTCTCAAACTCCTGAGCTCAAATGATCCGCCTGCCTCGGCCTCCCTGAGTGCTAGGATTACAGGCATGAGCCACCATGCCCGGCCCACCTTGGCAGTACTAACATTTTGAAGTGGAGAATTTTGGTGTTTTAGAGGGCTGTCCTGTACGGGGTAGAGTGTTTAGCAGTATCGGTAGATTTTACCCACTTGATGCTAGTAACATCCCCATCCACAAACTGTGACAACCAAAAATGTCCCCAGATAATGCTAAATATCCAGAGTGGTAAAATTACTCCCTATTGAGAACCAATAGGCTCCCTATTGGTTTAGAGTATTTATTGTTAAAATGTGGCTTATTAAGAACAGGATGCTTGACATTCTTTGTTGAAACTAAATCATATAGTCAATTTACATTTGAGAAATGATTTCATTTTGGATGATTGTAGAAGTGAAAATCAGCAACAAGAAGTCTTTACTTGGCTTTTCAAAATTCTAATATAGTCTCCTAAATATTGCTTGTTCTGTTTTTAAACAAAGACCTACAGTATATATATAATTTAATGGAGATAAACTCCAAACAGTACACAACTCAGATGGTAACAAGTAAAAGTGCTAAGCGATCTTATATATCACAGCATTTATTAACTTCTATTGCCACACAAGAAATGATGAGAATCAAATCTTATTTAGGAATGTAAAGGACATACCTGCTTTGTGGACGGCTGAGACTGATTGCTCGGACGAGAACCTTGTTCTTTCCCATCGCTATTTCCTACAGGCGTCACCTTGTTGAATTTTATTGTCAGTGATTTAAACATCTTCTTAGACGTGGTTTTAAAAAGCTTTGTTTTTTTTTTTTTATGACTCTGTGTCCGGAGGTAGAGAAATGTACTTTGTTTTTCTTTTCATTAGTAGACAAGCCAATTAGGTGTTTAATCAGGATTTTGTTCTGGTTAATTCCTACAGGCAACTCCCTAGCTAGTCAGGGCTTTGGCTTAAAAGCAGAAAATCACTTCTGCTTGGGGTGAGCTAGGCTGACGCCACGGCACTCACTCTAGCCTGGGCAACAAAGCGAGACTCTGTCTCAAAAATAAATAAATAAATAAATAAATAAATAAATGTGTACAATCCATATCCATTTTACTGTCTTTGTAACCCTTATCATTGTCTGAATTTGTATTGTTCACTATGTGCTTACTTGTATATGATCTGTTTCATTTTCTCTAGAATACAAGCTCCATGTTAGCACAGACTTGGCCTATATTATGCACCACTGCATGCCCAGCCCATGGTAGGTAATAAAAAAAGGTCTACTGAATAGATGAATGAGTGATTAAATGAAGAAATAATATTTTCGTAAACATTAAGATCTTTGAATAGTCTCGGTGCTACTTTTTAGCTTTTTTCTACAGATTGCATTCTGACCTTGCATTTTGGTGTGTGACTCTTCCACTGTGACTGGAATCATCTTGGTTTTGAGAGATTTCTTTTCACCTTTGTTTTCTTCCTTTGAGGAAAAAAAAATAGAGATTTTTTTTTTGTGTGATGAATTTACATAAAAATGAAGTTGAATGTAAAATGTAACACCGTTTTCCACTCAATTATCAATCCTATCATTAATATCGACCATTTGTTTATGATGTACTAAAAGTGATGATTCTTGCACCTCAATGGACATTCTTGGCCCTAGTAGGAAATAATCAACCTCGGCCTTCATAGCTTTTTGGCCTCAGGAACCTTCTGTTTTTGTTGGTGTGGATGCTGTATTTCCTTTGCTCATGTTTCTCTGAATTCTAGGGAGGCCTAGCGTTGGTCCCAGTCCAGATCTTTAGTGGTAGAACTTAAAATGGTGGAGAGAAGTCTGTTTAGTCCCTTTAGACATAGATCTCTGTCTTCTGTCCATGATTTCATTTGCTTCTACCTTATCATTTGTATGCTCATCTAAGGTTTCCTTTGAAACATATTTATGCCATGCTGGACATGGCCAATGTATGTCTGAAGATGTTCCCATAGCAGAAGAATGAGACAAGATATAAGGTAAGAACACAGAAAGATGGACTCTCAAGCTATGCACAGTCTAGGAAGGGGAAGCAAACACACAAAAATGTAAGTGCAAGAAAATGTAGGTGAGGCCACAATGTCTGTAGAAGATAGAGATGGGGTGTAAACATGGAGTGGTGAGTTCTCTTGGAGTAGAAGGGAAAGGAAGGAAACTATGAGAAAGGAAGTGATTATATTTTTACAAAGATGAAATTTTGGTTTTCAAGATGGACAAGACTTGGAAAACATTCCGGGAACATTGTACAGGTGTGATTGTGTATAGGTGGAGGAAGACTACAGTAGAAGTGGCTGGATGGGATAGAGTGTGAGGCAAGAAGTAGGTAGGTACAAGGAGGACATTGAGAGTATTGTGTGTTGTGATATGGAGTTTTGACATTATTTACAGGCACTGTATGTCATAGAAGCATTTTAAACTAAAAACAAATTAAATGGATGATTTCATTTAAGCCTCACAGATACCATATGTGTTAGGCAAGGCAGCTATTATTGTTATTATGCTATTCAATAGGAAATTGATTAAGTGGCTAGTCCATATGAACATAGAAAGGTATGGATCCAGGACTATTTATAAATAGTGATAAAGCCTTCTGATTTTAGTTCAGTACTTTTACATCATGCTTGATGTCATTCATAAACATTCCCATCATAGTCTTTATGTGTACACATGTAGACTTATGTGAATAGTGTCTTATTCTAGAGTAGGAGAGAGAGAGGTTGGATCAGGCTGAGTTTGCCATTCTTGCATTATTGTTTATTGATAAGTAGAAATAACCTATGACATTTTGGTTTGTGAATGAACTCTTTGAATGACACTTTAAAAAACACAATATAAATTTATTTATTCCTCCTTATTTTCTTATGACTCAAATAATTTATTTGTACTGCAGAGGCTTATTGTTTAAATGCCATTTTAAAAGGTTATATTCTGTGGAAGAAAATAGGATTTTAACTTTCTGTCATATTTAACATTTAGCATATTTGAAACTGGAAATGAAAAAATATATTTTTCCTATAGCTCCATGCTCTTGGAAAGAACAGATGCAAATAATTCCCCAAATATGACTTTTAAGATATTATAATTTGATGCCAGTAGACTTCATGATTAATATCCACAAATTATGGCTGCAGGAATGGCATGGGGTATACCTAAGGGTTGTTCTACCTGTGCCTAGTTTAAGTACTTCTCTAGTAATCCTGTTTCTGAGGGAAAGAACTCTTTAAGGAGTTTCTGCTTTTTTTGTGCCTTCTCTCTAACATCCCTTTATCTTGTGGACATAGCAGCTGAAAGGGTTGATTCAACTAATATTTTTCCTGTTCTGGAAAAACTCTTCAGCTCTTGGGTGCTGAAGATAGATAAAACACGGTTCCAGTTCAGGTTTTGTCACTTGCTAGTTGTGCATGAGTGGCAAATTATAATAGGACCCATGCTGTTGTGATGATCAAACACAATTGTGCCTGAAAAGGGATTAGCACATTGCTCAACGCATAGTTACTGGTGTCAGCTATTATGTTCTTCAAGAGAATGATATAGTAGCTACATTATGTACTCTTGGTAGGCAAGAGTTAAATATGAATGTAGTGACTTTTGTGAAGCAAAACGCTGCATGACTAGGTGAAGTATCCAGCTCAATATTTGTGACATTCCATATTTTCTTAAACACATAAATAACTTTTAAAGTGTGGGGTTATTTATTTGGACAGAAGAATTGGAAAGAAATCAAGGGCACTCTCATGAAGGAAGGCTAAGCACAAACCTCTACATCTCCTTTCTACTGCAAAGATAGTCAATGTTAATCAGAAAAGGAAGGTGGGTTTTCCATGGCTAATGTTAAACAATCTCGGTGTTGTCTATCCTCTCGGCTCATTTAAACCCGAATCATTAGACCACGCTACCCTAGTCCCTGAGGCACACTCCTGCTTGTACTTGACGTCTCTCATCTGACTCTTTCAGATGGGAAAATAACTATTGCTCTAAAAATCTTTTGCAGCTCTTTTAGGTAATTCTAGCAAGTAATTCATGGAAATTGTCCTCTAGATAGTTGTAAGTAAATATGGCTTTCGTAATTATCACTTTGGACTTAAACCTGTCACAAAAACACAAATAATTAATAATGATAATCATTGACACTTGGAAAGTATCTACTATGTGTTTCTATACACTGTCTCTCATTCTCAGAACAAAGCTACAGAGCAGATATTATTATCTATATTTTACAGATGAATAGACTTAGAACTTGTGAAAATATTTGTCTAAAGTGGGGTTCCTCCACCTTGGCAGTATTTTTTTTTTTGAGACGGAGTCTCACTCTGCTGCCTGGACTAGAGTGCCATGGCATCAGCCTAGCTCACAGCAACCTCAAACTCTTGGGCTCAAGCAATCCTCCTGCCTCAGCAGGAGCTACCTCCTGAGTAGCTGGGACTATCGGCATGCTCCACCATGCCTGGCTAATTTTTTCTATATATGTTTTAGTTGTCCAGCCAATTTATTTCTGTTTTTTAGTAGAGATGGAGTCTCAATCTTGCTCAGGCTGGTCTCAAACTCCTGAGCTCAAATGATCCGCCTGCCTCGGCCTCCCTGAGTGCTAGGATTACAGGCATGAGCCACCATGCCCGGCCCACCTTGGCAGTACTAACATTTTGAAGTGGAGAATTTTGGTGTTTTAGAGGGCTGTCCTGTACGGGGTAGAGTGTTTAGCAGTATCGGTAGATTTTACCCACTTGATGCTAGTAACATCCCCATCCACAAACTGTGACAACCAAAAATGTCCCCAGATAATGCTAAATATCCAGAGTGGTAAAATTACTCCCTATTGAGAACCAATAGGCTCCCTATTGGTTTAGAGTATTTATTGTTAAAATGTGGCTTATTAAGAACAGGATGCTTGACATTCTTTGTTGAAACTAAATCATATAGTCAATTTACATTTGAGAAATGATTTCATTTTGGATGATTGTAGAAGTGAAAATCAGCAACAAGAAGTCTTTACTTGGCTTTTCAAAATTCTAATATTGTCTCCTAAATATTGCTTGTTCTGTTTTTAAACAAAGACCTACAGTATATATATAATTTAATGGAGATAAACTCCAAACAGTACACAACTCAGATGGTAACAAGTAAAAGTGCTAAGCGATCTTATATATCACAGCATTTATTAACTTCTATTGCCACACAAGAAATGATGAGAATCAAAACTTATTTAGGAATGTAAAGGACATACCTGCTTTGTGGATGGCTGAGACTGATTGCTCGGACGAGAACCTTGTTCTTTCCCATCGCTATTTCCTACAGGCGTCACCTTGTTGAATTTTATTGTCAGTGATTTAAACATCTTCTTAGACGTGGTTTTAAAAAGCTTTGTTTTTTTTTTTTTTATGACTCTGTGTCCGGAGGTAGAGAAATGTACTTTGTTTTTCTTTTCATTAGTAGACAAGCCAATTAGGTGTTTAATCAGGATTTTGTTCTGGTTAATTCCTACAGGCAACTCCCTAGCTAGTCAGGGCTTTGGCTTAAAAGCAGAAAATCACTTCTGCTTGGGTGATTTGCACTCTGTTTATGAACTTTAGAGAGTCAAAATGCCCTCGTGAATAATTTAAGAGTAAAGGATTGAAGAACACTTCATAGTTGATTTGAATTGTTTTAATATGATCACATTGCCCATTGGTTTATTTGTTTTCTTTCTTTCTAATTACCCACCTACCTATATTTATCTATCTAATTTTAAGCAAAGTAATACATGTAAATGATTAAAAAATAAAACATACATGAAGGCTTGTATCATGAGGTCACTATTTTTAAGCGTCCTTCTTTTGTTCTTCTGGTGGTTGGTTTCTATATCACTGAAAAGATTGCTTATTCTACTCTGTGTGTGTGTGTGTGTGTGTGTGTGTGTGTGTGTGTGTAAATTTAGACCCCAAACCTGTGTGAAGCATAGGCACGAAATTAAGAATTGTTAAAGATAACTTTTTTCCTCTACCTAGAAGCAAGACAAACTTCCTTAATATTCTGTGCTGTTAGATGGGAATTTTAGTTCATCAAGCATGCACATTTTTTTAAGGGGCCCTGGTTTTGTTTGGTTTTTAATGGAAATTGTGTAGTTTCAAATTAAAACCAAAGCCTTTAAGCAATAAGGCCACCCTCCACATTCCCTATACCCAGGGCAGCCTGAGTCAACTCATCCAATACATTTTGCCCTCTGTATTGGGATTTCCTTGAGATACTAGTTATCCATTTTAAAGTATGTTTGTTATAGTTAATACAGAAAAATATTTTAATTTAAGTAATATGAAGGATGAACTTTAGTTTTTTCATATGATCAAAATCACAATTCCATTATTCATTTTTAAAAAAAAATAAAAAGTTTAAATTTAAAATCAAACAATTTAACAAAAAAAAAAACTAACCAAAAAAAAAACTGAATGAAAAAAAGAATTGAACTAAGGGGTCCAAAAAAAAAAAAACGCCTAATTTTGGTTAAAAAAGGGGAAGTAACCATTTAAAAAGCAAAGATTTCTTTTTTGTTTTATTATTGCTTCAGAAATAATTCTGAATAAATTATCAAATATGTATGGGATCATTTTTGAGACTTCTCAAATAATCCTCTAATCCTAAAGTTGATTACATTTTGAACTTAAAATAGAGACATTAAAGCCAAATCATGAGAAGGTAAGGTGTTAACAGCAGGCCTGTGACTAATTCTCTCCCTTCTTGGGACCTTTAGAGGAATAAATGATCTCACCAGACTCTTTTAAATCTGCTCATAGTATTTACCAGTGGAAACATACCAGGGAGTCCCTATTTATGAAATTTATTTAGTAGGACATTTCTGATATGTCTATATTGCTTATCATAAATAAGCCTAGAATTGATGGATTTATATGGCAGACAGGCTAAAGAATGGGGAGAGAGGTATATAAACTTTGTAAGGAAATATGAAATGAAGTTGTCCCCAAACTAAACCACCTTCCTCTTGTGAGAAATTATTTTGTAGACAACACTCAAAAACTTATAAATGCAAAACCAAAATGTGCTGAATATTGAAGAAAATGGACAGTTTTGGATGCTGTGTCTGATGGTTTCCCCCCCCGAAACTATGTTTTGTCTACTCCTCATGATGGCCTGTATCCATCAAATCATTAATAAAGTTTGATGCTAGATAAGATCTGTGATCCTGGGTAATCTACTTTGACAATTCAACCCTTGGTATTATCACAGGTCAGAATAAATGTGATACAGATATTAATTTAAGCACCTTTAAAAATCATTAAAAATACCTCTAACAATCTGATTTTGGATAGTAAAATATCATTAACATGGACATTAAAATTATAGATGAATACTTTAATTTTGTCTAAATCAGAGGATTCAAAGTTTGGAAACTAGACAACTGGAAAGAATTTTAGAATGACAGACATGAATTTTGGGTCATTCTTTTTTACTTTCGTAAATATGTGAGCTAAGGTAAATTTCTTGCCTCAATCTAGAAATGACAGGATTGGGCAAAATAATATTTAAGTTTTCTTCTAACTGCAAATTCTGTGATTTTGTATTGTTGTTCTGCAGAAGGGCTCTCAGTCAGAAAGAAGACAACAAGGGAAGGAAGAGGGTGGCTTATTCTGGGTAAAGTAGCTCACTGGAATTTCACCTATAGTATGCTAAAGTTTTTTGTACCAAGTTGCTACAGCCATTGAAGTAGTGTATGCCAATGAGAATAAATGCAATTGTTCTTCAATACAAATATGACCACATGTCTAACTGAAACCCCTCAGACACTCTTTCTGCCTTTTGGGATAATGTCTAAACTCTTTGCCATGACATTCTGGGCCCTTTAGCATTGACCTTTGCCTAATTCTCTGGTTTCATCTGTAACCCCTATTTCTCCTCAGTTTTGGCTCCTGCCATAATAAATCATTTACTATAACTTGAGCTGCTCTGATTTTTTCTCTTCTCTAGGCATGTGTTTGCTCATATGTGCTAACCTGCCTGAAATGCTGTTCTACTTTTTGTCTATTTCGTCTAGGATGGGTATTTCTTTCTCCCACCTTTTTTCTCCTTTCCCCCACCATGGACACATGTGTATACAATTCTGTCTTTGTTGTCCCTATTGTACCTTGTGCCATGCAGAGATCTCTACTTTGTCACTTCTCATTTTATAGCCACTTCCAGATCTATATTCCCTAATGGAGTGTGAACTCTTTCAGACAGAGACTAAGCTTTGGCCACCTTCAGATCTCCCGTGCATGGCTCAGTGCTTGGCGTATTCTAGGTATTCCATGAATGCTTGTTGAATGAATGATACGAAGATGATGCTCTAGGCTACCTGTTAGCTCTGAGTTAAGAATAAGGAGATTATTGGTGGCAGATGATGTATGTAAGAAGAAATGAAGGAAATCTTGCTGAAGGAATTCAGATGTTGTGGCTCATTGCTTTTTTATTAGTAGTCATTGCAAGCAAGACTGTCTTAGGCTGGGCTTGGGGTAGGCTAAGAGAAGCATATACAACAAATGGTATCTTAGATACCATATATGGTATATAAATGGCACAGTAATATAATATATAAAATATAAATATGATGGTAATAAAGCTATGCTAAAATAAAAAGAATTATCATCATTAGCAAACAGTACCATATTCTTGTAACTGGTGATTTGGTTTCAGTAGAGCATTAGCCATATTTTTAAATTTTATGTTAAATTTACAAATAGGCTTTAGCTTTATAGTTCTATCAGAATTATAAGCAAATGGAGTTTGTATCTAGTTTCAGGTATGAATATATTTAAATATCATTCATATAAAATTATTAAAATCAATGCTAGAGGTTCCAATAAAGTTTTCACTTAATAGGAAGCAGGTTTGAGAAATGCTATCTTTCTTTGAAGAAATCTTTAGTGATGGGATTTCAGACATTCTCTTGGGGGAGTGATTTTGGATGAAAAGGACTTTCTCAAATCACAATCTCCTCTGTTTCTGGGACGGAACATGGGTTTGGAGCTTTTTTTTCTTTCTCATAGACTCTTGGAAACAAACAAAGGCTATAAAACCAACTAAGGTTATATTTTCACCTATGTCCACCAGAAAGAAACATTTAAGCCATTCTCTGAGAACCCTCTGAATGAAATTCAAATAGTCTGAATATTATTTCAATAAGAGAAGAGTGACCACTGAGTATAAATCAAGTAACTGGTTTTCAGTAGATAACCTCAAGCAATAACTTGAAGGCAAAAAACCAGAAGTCTCCCTCCATCTCAGGTTTGGGGAGATATTTATTTTTAGGCGAAGAAAATAAACTGATAACAAATGTGAACATTAGCTGACTCATGAAAAATTCACTACACTGAATATATTATACTTAGTAAGGCAGGAAAGTAGATGATTAAATTATGAGCATTTTTTCAATTATAAGACTTTAGAGGAAAAGCATTAGGCATATTGTCAGGTCACCTGCGAATGGGGTTTATGTCCTCATCTATAAAGTGGAAGCTAGAATAACAAGCTCTTTAGGACTTGGGGAAGATTACACAAGCTAATAAATGGCACACAAAGATTATCTGGTATAGATTAAGTGCTGCACAAATATCTTCTAATTAACTGAATAAAACAAATTGTGTTTCTGGAAGCACTAAATTTTAAAGTGGTCTATTTATTAAAGCATATAATGTTATCGAGCAGTAAATATTTGAGTTCTTATTGTGTTTTAAGCTCTCAGCTAGCTGCTGTGGGGTATACAGAATTGACCAAAATATGGTACCTGTCTGGACACACTCACGCTCTTCAGAGAGAAAAAGAAGGTGTGTAAACAGTCACATACGACTTCTATAATGGCAGTATGTGAGCAGTGTTACCTTAGCACAGAAGAGCAGGTCACTGAGTCCCTTTGTGTGAGTGGACTACAAAATGCAGAGTAAAGCTCTGAGGAGGAGCTAACGTTCATGATAAATTTTGAAGGATGAGGAAGTCTCCTGGCAGATGCGGAAAGAGAGAACATTCCAGACATCAGAGACAGCATCCAGTTAATTAAGATATTACAGTAAGTAGCAGTTTATCTGGCCAGCACAGTGCCGTTAGGAGACATGTAACAAAGATCTGTTAAACTGCTGTTGAATATTAACAACAAATATGAAATATATACACAATATTTTCTATATTATACATAAGCTGTAGACCTTATCATTTCCAAAAGAGACCAACGGCACTGATTTTTATTCTTTTAATTTTTGTAGGACTAGCAAAACACTAACATTGTATTTAAAAAATCAAAAATCCAAAGAAAAGTTCTAAATATATTTATTTTTCTTGAGTTGACGACATCAACTATTTAACGACCTTACAAAGTGAATTTACAGCAAATGATACTTAGAGGAAGTTTGCCCTCATAAAATATGTATAACGCTATTTAGAAATATTTGCCAGCATGATTTTGTGTGATTAC